GTATTTGTTGCAAGGAGGATATCATTGTGTTTTAGCCTTTTTGGAAAGTGGAGTGATGACTTGGGGTTGTGCTTTGTTTAGATGATCCCCTAAGCTGCCTTTCAGTTTTCAACTCAGGTCGCTGCTTTGACGTCCTAACTTTTTCCTAGGTTACTCGAGATGTGTTCCCTAGCGGACATTTTCTTTTGATCCTTACTTTTTCCTAGGTTACCCTTTTTGATTGTGGGTTGCCTAGCAGATCTTGCCCTAACTTTTGCGCAGCCCCCTTGGTGGGTTTCCTGCCGGGCTTTCATTTTTGCAGCGTTTGTGTGGGACGCTCTATTTTTATTAAACCCTAGTCATGTTTGAATTCCTGATTGTTCCTTTGTTATCCTTTCCATGCTATTATTGAGTAACATCTTTGTCGAAAATACATTTTGTTTGCTAAGGGTTGATGGATGAGGCCTAGAGTAAATATTTAAAGGGAGAAGAGAAACGAAAGAGTGTTATGTCAATTTACACGTGCCCTTTAGCAAAGCTCGAAGGCCCGGGCATGCCTTGAGTTCGTGATTCATATACACAGAGAGATAGACGGAGGTTGCCCCCTATAGAGTCATGGATGATTTGATAATTTCAAAAATATGTTCCACTTGCTTAAACATCGGTGTTTTGAATTTGGAGTGAAACCTTTATGAATTCTTGTTTTCGAAGGGAATATTCGAGCCACCTTTCAATTCCAACTCAGATGGACATTTCTTATTTTTATATGTCCCTAACTTTTGCATAGGACGTATCCTATCGGGATTTTGATTCTTTTTTCTTAACCCTAATTTTTGCCTAGCAGGCCCTTTATGGGTTTTCATCCTAACGGGTTTTTGTCATGCAATGCCTTTATTCTTCAATTGAGTTTTGTTGTAATTCCATAGAAGCAAGGATTCGTCCATTTTTTATCATTCCTCCTATCCTGACAATTGTCATTTTCGCATGGAAAAGTCTCGGTGTTTGAATCGTCGATTAGGGCGTGTGATGCCCCCATTATTGATAAGTGTTCCCGGATTTGATGTGTCGGGTTTGCAATTGATTACAGTAATTTTCATTATCCGGTTAACACGCATAGATTAAATTTCCCTTTTTATTCTTATTTATTATTTACAAGGAAGGTTATCTATATGAAACGTAAAATAGGATGCAAAGACACTTGAGAATTTCAACGAATATCATTCTCATTGATTTTTGTTTAAAGAACATTTTTGCATACTATTATATGTGCCTTCCGTCTCTAATGGATGCATGCTAATGTGCTATCCTAGGAGATGCATGATATCTATTTTCTACCTAAATTTTATCATGTTTTTTTTTTTATTTTACTAAAGGTTATGATGCATGATTTTTGCTATATATTTTTTGTTTTTTTTTTAAACAAACTATCCTATATGATGCTTTAGAGTTAGGGTATACAGAAGAGTGTTAGTTTTTTTAATTGATATCTGTTTATTTGTCTATAATTCCTCTCTATTTGAAATGAACAAAAAGAGAACACAACAAATGCAACACACATATGCTCAAACAAATGTACACCCGCGAACAATCGCGTTCAAATCCTTGGTCTGTGGTCCCTGTAAGAAAAGTGCATTGTATAGGACGGTTCTAATCTCACTGGTTTTAAAGCCCCCAAGGTGCCCCCATTATAGGGACCCAGTATCTCTGTCGCCGTCACCTGGCAAACTCTAAGGTCTGTCGCCGTATTTCGGGCTAGAGTAACCGGTTATCACCTTGAGTGTGATTTCCGACAAGGCTCGCAGGCTCCAAGGCCAAACTTGGGCCAGTCGTACGTCAACCACTCCCTATATTTAATCCCCTCATGCCCTCGGGTGTAGGGGGAACTGTTGTGTGCAAAGGTTTGTGTACAATTCTTTTATTCAAACAGATGCAGAATTTAAATAGGCAAACAAATATTAAAGCCAAACAAATAAAGCAAACAAAGTAAAGGGGAAAAATATTTAAATTATTATTTTTATTTTATTAACTTCATTAATTAAATGAGCCTGACCCTCTTTAAACGTCCCCAGTGGAGTCGCCATCTGTCGCAACCCGAAAATTTTCGATCTTGCGACCTATGGTTTAGACATCCTTTTAAAAATATCATCAATTAAGGAATGCCCGAACACCAGACTAATCCTTAATTAATTATTTTGAAAATAGGTTCTTGGAGTCACCACCAATGTTTTACTCAAAACATTGGAAAAAGAAAAGGTTTTTAAAAATTCAATAATGGCCTTGATAACCAGAATTGGGTTCGAGGGTCGGTTACGTGCAGGGAAGGTATTAAGCATCCCTACAGCACCCTCAATCGGTACCCTATGATGAAGTTAATGTGATAAAAAATAATAAATTAAATATTAAATCCCCTTTATGAATTACTATTTACATGCTTGAAATTTAAATTATGAAATTAACCCTAAAATGTCTACATGATTATTTTCATTATAACAATATTTAGTATAGATAAGAAATAAAAAAGAAAGAAAGAGATTAACTGAAATACCTCTTGAATGAGCTCTATTGAATCTTCAAAAAAGGAAAATTCTAGGTGCTGTGTGACAATCTTTCACACTACAATGTGCCTCACAAAATCTCAAGAAATACAAAAGAGAGAGAAAGAGAGAAATTTTGAGCTCTAAGGAGTCTGGACGAAATTTTGGAGTCCTGAGAACTGTGCCCAAGCTGTCTATTTATAGGCATCAGAAAGGGTCCAGAACAGCCCGTTCCAAAATCGAAATAGCCCGTTCTGGATCTGGCCGTTATGTGTTAATTTCGTAACTGGAACGGTTCGTTCTGAAACTGGAACAACCCGTTCCAGAGATAAGATTAACACACAATTTGGTAGACTGGAACAGGCGTTCCAAACAAGGATTTTTAGTCCATTTTAATAACTTGGAATGACCTGTTCCAGTTTTGGAATGGCTCGTTCCAGTTAAGATTTTAGTCCTTTTTTGAGGAGTTTGGAATGGCCCGTTCCAAACTAGGTTTTAGTCCCTTTTAGGAACTTGGAACGGCCCGTTCGAAATTGGGAACGGCCCGTTCTGGTTTTGCAATAGGCCATTTCAGGCTACTAAAACTAGATTGTTTGGCTTTTGGGCCTTCTAATGACCTGTCCTGTTGTTGGCATGCTTCGGGAGCTTCATTTCTTTGATGATAGACGTCCATTTCTTTGTTTGTATGCCACCCGGACGAAATTGGGTGTCTACAATAACAATTTGATATCTTCCAAACATAGCTTGGATAGATTCGTTCTCTTCCATCTCGAAGAGTTCATACTTACGGACCAACAAGCTTAGCTTGTTGCGCTTTACCTCTAGGGATCCCTCGTAGGTTAGAGCTAGGTATCCCACATTTGTTTGGCACTCTTGAAGCTGTGTACTTTGGTGTACTCTTTCTCAGTTAAAGCACACATGAGTGCGTTTCACGCTTTGGAGTCCAGCACGAATCTTTGTTTTTGTCCATCATTCCAACGTGCCTTGGGTATCTCCCTGCCAGCCTCATCGAGCGGAATCTCCCTGTTCTACAACTTCCCACATGTCTATATGACAAGAATCAAAGAATGCAATCATCCTTTGTTTCCAATAGTCGTAGTTGGTTCCTCTAAAGAGAGGTGGGCGGTTCACTTCCTGTCTTTCATTTTCCATTGATCGTGCCCCTACAGTGTTAGATGCTCAATCCTAGGGGTCAAGTTCTGATACCAATTGAAGTTAGCGAAACAAACACACAAAAGGGGGGGTTGAATGTGTGTGTGAAAAAAGGAGTTTTAAAACGTTTCGCAACGATATTTTTTTTCATCTAATGAAAATATTACTTTGAACACTTGAAATTGTGCACGGTTGGCTCAGAAAAATATTTTTCAGTCTGATAGTTTATCGTCTACTTGAAGAAGAGATTTCTTATTGGTAAAAATAATTTTCTAAGTAATAAGTTGAATAACTATATTTTTTGTCTGGAAATGGTTACTGTAGTAAGGATTTAATAAGTGGTCAAAATTTGTAATGATGTAATAATTAAATAAACTTTCTTTTGAAAAGAAATAAAGAGTGCACAATGTTTTTATACTGGTTCACTAGACCTGAGCTACGTTCAGTCTCCTTCAACTGAAGGGTTCCACTAATCACAACGGATTACATGTATTCTCAACCACTCTTGGTTCGTCAACTTCACTCATCGACACTACTGTTCTTAACCACTTTTGGTTCCCCGAGTATTCTTAACGACTCCTGGTTCGTCAACTTCACTCACTGATGTTAGTATTCTTAAACCACTTATGGTTCTCCAAGTATTCTT